CGCGCGCGCGCGCGCGCACACACACACACACAGACAGACACACAGACAGACAGACAGACAGACAGACAGACAGGCAGGCAGGCAGGCAGGCAGGCAGGCAGGCAGGCAGGCAGACAGACAGACAGCAGGGCAGGGCAGGGCAGGGCAGGGCAGGGGGCAGGGGGCAGGGGGCAGGGGGCAGGGGGCAGGGGGCAGGGGGCCGGGCCGGGCCAGGCCAGGCCAGGCCAGGCAGGTCAGGCAGGCCAGGCAGGCCAGGCAGGCAGGCAGGCAGGCAGGCAGACAGACAGACAGACATACATACATACATGTGCTTTTTTTTAAGCTTCTAAGTATGTTATCCCATATTCAGCATTGCCCGCCAAGGAAATCACATGTCATATCCACTTGAAGTGTATCTCCAGGCACGGTAGCCTAGTTGTCCTGCAGCCACCATGGCCTTGACTTCCATGGCCAACTCGAACTCTTAGGCTTCCAGGTGCCGCGGCACTTCACTGAGCTGCTAGCAACCCTGCCTCCCTGACACACAAACTCGCGACATCCGCTCGATGCGCCTATATCCTGACCAGGACAGTCATTCGCTAGTTGAGCGGCTGGGCGCGGAGTCGGACGCGCCTTGGCTCAGGAATACGTCCACTGCCTTTAATTGACACCACGCAGCGAAGCGCGGCGTCACACAGTAGGAGGTCGGCGAGACTCGGCAATCATCTTGAACTGGTGCCGCGAGCCTCAAGCCATGCAGATACCGAATAAGCCTTCGTCGCTTGCGTAGGTTGGTGTCATCACCCAACGTGAGGTGCAACAGTTGCTTGGCCAGGAAACTCAAAGGTTTGTCATGAAGCTTTGGGGTTACAGAGAAAATTTCTTCAAAGGTTTGTTTTCATTTCAAGAATACACGGTCCGTATCGTTGTTGTCCCCGTTTTCGACGCTCGTAGCTTGATCAGCTACCATACCTTGTGCATTCCAGTCACACGCGTGGCGGTAGGCGCTTCTTGCTTTTTCCGCAGCCCTTAACCAACAGGAACGGGAGAGGTCGGCGGTGCCTCGTTCCAAGGACCAGCCCAAGCAACTTATTAGAACCGAGGCTTCTTGAGCTTACGAGCGCTGGAGAGGAGGCGGAAGCTGCTTTGTGGAGGAGACTTTGTATTTTCGCTGATGATGTGGATACGTCGAAGGGCGCAGCTGTTCACTTCACGTTTCACTAGACAAAGCCAAGTGAGCCTAGGTTGGCAGTCTGGCAAACATGGCGGTAGGAATTTGAGGTTAGAGTTTGCTTGTGTCTGGGTCTTACAGTAAAGTTTGAAGCGAGCCCAGGCAAGCGCCCCCAAAGCCAGCCTGCCAAGCCGAAGCGTCCATCGGTATAAAGTTGTCTTTGGTTCTAAAGTGATTCTAATGACTATTGATTTCGGTGCCATGAAGAGGTGTGGGAGACCCTCCAGAAGGATGAGCAAATCCATGTCCTTTGGCAACTGTTTGGACAGCCTGCTGGCATGTGTCGCAACACGCGTCTTTGCAGGTTCTTGCCCGGTTTCAAGCTGTTCGCATTGGTATGGTGTTGTTTGTTTCTGTTGCTACTGTAGTCAAAGGTTGATATGCTTTGCTCTTGTACATTTTTTTTCCAACCTGCGAGGTTTAATGTGGCTTTTGACTGTAGAGGTTAGCACCGAACCATTCAACTTATGCCTAAGTTGCGGCGCCATCGGAACCGGAACCTCTTCGGCGGCTGCGTCTTCGCAACCTGGGCCAGCCTTTTTCTTTGGTCGTCCTTCCTTGAAACTATGAAGTTTTTTTTTTTTTTTTTTTTTATGATTTCTCATCTTAGCGTAGCCACGATTATCCAATTGCGTTGGCTCTGTGCGGAAGGCTGCCGAGTTGTCTGGAAGCGGGGTGCTGCTGACAAAGACTCAACATAACATGCAAAAGAACTAAAAAGACAAGAGCTCAGTGGAGATGCAGCAAATTCGAGGTAAAGCTTGCGGGACACGTGGCCGATACCACTGTGGCCCATGACGCCCAGCTGCAGCTTGTGGGCGCCAAGTTAGAAGACCAACTCTACTGGCAATGTCAAAAGCGAGGTGGCTCACTGCTTCTCAAACTTTGCCGACCGAGCGATTTGGGACAAGCAGATGGACAGCTTTCGGCTGATGTCGATTGCCCAAGAACAGAGAACAGAAATATCTCAGGTAAAGCAGATCGCTTCTTGCCATCCCAGCATTCGGAAACGCAAAAAGCACGTTTTCAGGACCCTGCCTGACTCAGGTACAATGTAGAGGGCAATGATCTTCTCTATTCCCTTCTTCATGCCACTTGGATGCGGTCCAACAGAGCAGCAATGAGCCTGCATGCTTCGTCTGTGAATTTGACTCAGGCGCCGCCGCTTACCGATCGGGATCCTGGGCTGGTGTATGTTATTTGCCCAAGCTGGGCAATGTTACTTTCGTTGAGTATGTTCACGAGTGCACCTACTACCTACCAGGCGTTGGAATTTGCTTACCAGTCTCATGCCATCTGCTGTGATGGCGCTGCTTTCAGGGGTCTACCAGTGATAATCGGTCTTGATTTTGCAACTTCCAGCTGGTAATTGAGCACCGAATTGCCCTGAATGCCAGCTAGCTGGCAGGAAAGGAAAACTACCAATAAGCTGGAACGCTATGAAGGACCCCAGGATTTCCTAAAATCTTGCTGCTGGGAACTCTAGCCTCTCCTGCTTGGACGCCACTTTAGGCCACGAAGACTGACAGCTGAGGATTTCTTCATGTACCACGTCACCTTGCGACATGTGCCTTGGATAAGCATGCTCTAGACTGCAACCTGAAATCCCGGCTCGTGCGTTGATCATGTGTGAATGAAAGTCAAGCTGGGATTCAACTCTTGAGTCTGCTGGCTTCTCCAGGGTGTCAGGTCAGAGTGATCCCTGCCAATCATCTTGCCAATTGCCAAGATCTGAGGAGAGCGGGCGAGGCATGATGTGACCTGGCAGCTGTGTGGGGCACAGACTCCTAACCCTAACCGGTGTTTTTCATGCGAGGTTCTACACTCGCTCAGCCAGCAACAGCCTTTGTCCGCCTACTCGGGCCGTCCGGGCCACACAGTGCCATGGCTTGGGGTCTCTGCTATGCTCATCGGGACGATGCAAAGACCAGCGGGATTTCGTGTTTGTGGTACATGCAGCGCTGCCACTTGCTTGGCTATCCTGCGTATGGAAACTGCCGTCTACCTCGTTCAGAAGACCATCTCAGGTACCTAGCAGCCCATTGCATCATGCAGGACTGGGAGAGCTCCGCATGCGAACGCATAGCCCATTCCCGGTGCTGTGCAATTTGCAGAGGACCCCGACGGACGCGGGGTGACGTTCACAACGACGTCAGCCGTGGACCCCCACATCCCGTTCCTGCCCAGGTGGGTAATGCCCCTTTGGCCCTTCAGGGATGAGCCTGTGTACTGTTAGCGCTGCAGACGGACCTGCCAACATGCGCGGTCCAAGTCTTGGGCCCCCCGGTTCACGCCAAGGACACTCCTGATGCCTTCGGAGTTTCGACGCTGGCGCAATGCTGTTGACAAGCGCTGTCGAGAGTTGAACCAGGAGCACTTCCTGCATGCATATTTGCAGGTCTCTGCATGTTTCTGCCAAGCGTCAGGCCCTGCCATATCTGTATGCGCGCACCTAGGTAAGCGCGCAGCATGGATGGTGGCAAGATCCTGGCATGCTAGCCAGTTAAGCTGCAAGATCTGACAGCGCCTCAAGACCAAAAAGATGCCCGACCTCGATGAAGTCCCGGACCTGTGGGCGAACGTTAGTCAATCTCAATTCTTCATGCTTGCCGCTGATTTTCCCTCAGGACGCCGTAGTGATTCCGGTGGCCAAATGCTTTCAAGCGGAATCGGAGCTTAGGGCACCCGCCTCGCAGGCGCTGAGTGCATAGTAACTGCAACCTGGGGGCATGAATGCAGACTTACCCCTTACTTGCAGGCTGGTGGAGCCACACCAGATGGCCCAGAAAAGGCACAGGCCATCACAAGAACAGGGATTTTGAACAGGGGTTCTCCGCCTCTCACACCCACGCCGCCAGTATCCGTTGTCGATCCCCCCAAATGACCGAATCAACACATCATCCCGTTGCAACCCTTTCGACTCTAGCCCTGCAGGGCTTTGCCGACAGCGAAGAGAGCGACCCGAAGATGAGGGTTGGTCCTGGGTTCAGTCATGGGATGCCATGGAGTTCTTTGGAGGGACGGAGAAAGTACCTGCAGGTTCTTAACTGTATTCGCAGTTTGCGGTGCAAGGGGCCATAACTTTTATTGTCACCGCGCCCCGACGTAACTCCTTCCGGGTTCACACCACAAGCGAAGACCATGATATGCACGATTTTCTGTATATTCGCCTGTGCAACACCTCGTTAGTTGAGCTTGGGAGGCTAGGGGTTTCAGGTTGCTTTGCATGAGGCAGCTTCCCTGATACCTCGTGCAGTTTTAGCAGCAGGTCATGGGATTGCCTTTATTTATAAGCTCCTAGAGGCCATGAGAAGTCCCACGCATGGCTTGCTGTGTAACAATCAGGATGTAGATGATGTAGTGATAATGCATTGTGCTTTTGCACGGTTGTTCCTATAAGCATGGCGCGCGTTCCAGGCCACTGTGGACGCCAGCACTGAGTGCTCGCCAGGCAAGCTTTTCCAATTTTCAGATGATTGCTGGATCATGTTGGGATGACTGGACATCCCCAGGTGTTAGGCACTTGCAGGCTTGCAGGCTGCAAGGCACTGACACCCTAGTTCCTGACCTTCATCCCTGGAACACCCATCAGAGATGCGTGAAATTTGGCCTTGCCTTGTGAACGAACGTCGTGCGGCCAGGCACCCGCCCAGATTCATCGCCTGTGATAGAGGTCAGCCGGCTCAGGGCTAACACTGGCCAAGCTTGCTGGCGCCGGTTTTTTGCTAACTTCTGCTGTATTTACGAGCTGCGAAACAAGACAGCTGAAAACAGCTGAGGATGCGGAGGAGGTGGTGGTGTCCAGCACCTCAGGTGGACCAGGCCTGTAGGGTACTCGGACACGCGCCTTACTGTGAGACTCTAAGACTTTAAGCGTCCAGTCCAAGCAGGCAGTACTACCAATAGGTGGCAACTGCGCTATCTTGAGAGGCCTTTGTTGGTGCTGCTAGTGGGTGAGATGAGGCGATCTCGGTCGCACAGAATCAGAGTAAGTGGAACTGAGGAGCTTGACTTGCCAAAGGTCATGCCAATGGCCGAGCATGCCCACATGGCTTGAGACACTTTCCATGAGCATTCCTTGTGACTCGGTCGCAATCCTTCTTCCTAAGAAGCCGGAGTGATGCCACATGCGTTCTCAGCGAGCTGGGAGCTTCTGGCGTGCGCTTGTATGTGGCGCAGAGAGGTGCGATGCATGACCAACCTCCTGAAGTTCTGAGGCAGCCGGTAGTGCCTTGTACAGACCAGGGCTGACTCCCAAACTGTAGAGAAGGGTGGCGCAACTGCTCACGGCTGCCAGTTTTCCATTGCTGGGAACCTGCAAAGTTCCCTTTGAAGAGGCATGCCTGACCTCTCGGCCTCTGCGATATGGGGTGCAAGTACAGATCCTCATTCCAAAGGCCTGATACTGGGGTCCGTTTTCAAGCCCTCCCTCCTGCAATATGGCGCCTGGCGGTGCCGGAGGCACAAGCTTCAGGTTTCCGGCGAGGGCTGTAGGTTTTCAAAGGGGGCATCAGGTACAGCAAGGATGTCAGAATTCTCGCCAGATTTCTGGACGTCCCCTTGTCCGGTTTCAACACGCGCTTCTTCAAATTGCCGTGCGATTGCACAGTTGTTCCTGCATGCTGCTGACTCTTGACAGAAGCGAGCAATGGCTCATGCAAGCGGACTGCAGCGTTCCTCCTCGCAGGATGAAACGACACAAGCAAAGGCATGCATCCTGGCAGCCGACTCTGAAAATGAGGTGGTGCAGCAAATGAACGAAGGGCCTTCTAGGGCGCGCCCAAAATCCGCTCATATCGCCGAACAGTTAGCCCTCCATGAATTTTTCTGTCAGAGAAGTCGCAGCCGCTGAGGGAAGTGTCACGTGCTCACGTGCTCCAGCGGCAATGCTTCGCTTGCTCCAGTTGCTACTGGCAGCTCTCTGCGTTTCAGCGGTGGGCTTCAAAGCCCTGGCTCTGCAGGCTGAAGAAGGAAGTTAAAAACCCAACGTAAGGCAACCAGAATCTGCACTGGCAGCGCCGTTGTTCTCACCGGGTACGGTAGTCCCTGACACAGCTCCTTGATAGTCCTTCACATTTTCCAGCTTCTCATCCAGCAGTTAAATGGTGCAACAGAGTCTCAGCTGGACTGAATTAGGGCCATCCTTGACTTGAGTTGATGCCTTCCATTTCTGAAACTCTTCTATGCCTTGCACCTTCAGCCGTACCAACTGAGGGAAGAACTGTTGCCTGACAGCCTCTGCAGTTCAGGGCGGCGGCATCCGTGCTTTAGCTGTGGATGCCGGGATCTTTGCAGGGCTAGCCGAGGATGAGGCCGACGCCCGTATCGTAAAGCTGTATGTGTGTATGTGTGAGATTCGTGATGAGAGGCGAAACGCCGATTTGTTGTGGAAAGGGCAGTGGTGTTGCCTCTCAAGTCTTGAGGTCAGTCCTGAGATGTTGACTCTTCATTTCAGATTTGGTACTGCATTTGCAGGCATTGTGCAGGGAGTGTCTGAAGAAGCGGCCCTCTTTGAAAGAAGAGCCTCTCTTTGGCGGCTAGTAGTTCACCGTAAAGCATGGCACACCATGGCACACCTCAGTCAGGAGGTCTTGCCGCGGTGTTTGGAGTCATTCGATCTGCTCTCCAGCGTGAGCGGCTCCTCTTGGTCTCCTATCCCAAGCTGGCTACGTTTCAGTAACGTTCAGGGGGCCAAGCGGTTTGGATAAAGCGGCTGCGACATATGGATGCCCGCCCGTAGAAAGAAGCTGTGCAACACTTATAAGACCGTGGGTGCGTTGTTTTGGCTGTAAGCTTCCCAATGCCTGTATTCACTTTGCTGTGCTTTGATTGATTAGTGAGTCCATCTGTTGAAGGTAACTTGGGCAGAATGTTTGGAGTCCGGTTGACGGAGAGTTCTTCATGATCTTCACGTGTTGTTTTCGTGGCCACAAGGTATCAGGGGACCCTCTTTTTTTGAGGGTTGTGCCTGCTACAACGCAACGGTTGGCCGGTTGGCCAGTCCACGCAAGCGTAATGCGTCATTCTTTTTCCACTGCTAGCCCGAGGCCTGGAACTGGAAGCCGAAAGCCTCTAAGCCCCTGAAGATAGCAAAGGTTCAGCGCAGAGCTGCTTTACTCGCCCTCCTTCCTCCGCCTGCTGCAAGGTGCCAAAGGTTGGTCGGAGACAGCATGGGGTTGACCCAACTGTTGATACAGCTATCTGATCAGCTATCTTGCCTGAAATATCTGAACCTGGAATGGCTTGACCCAGTTGATCTCCAGCCTTGAGTCTGGAGGTCAGCTCTGCTTGTTAGGTTTGGGACAACAAGTCTGAGCTCGAAACCCAAAGCACTGAAGCTCAAGCTCCGGAAGTCTCAGCACACAACAG